GGTCTCTCGGTCTCTCCCTGCAGCTGTAACGTGATGACCTGTTGATTCCTGGCCGCAGGCAGGCGTGTGGCCTGGACTCGACTTGGTGCCACCGTGGACCTGCCTCTGCCAGTCTTCCTGACCCTCCTTCTCTCGGGACTCGGGGTATGCCTTCCCTGCTTCAGAACACGTCAGGATTCGTACGAGGCGGCCGGACTGCAGGCCCCTCTGCACAGACTGGACCAGGGCCACGGAGACCCCGTGCCCTCAGCGCCCAGCACCACCGCCCGACTCCAGGCTGCCGCCCCCGTGGGGTCCACTGGGCAGCTGGGTGCAGGCTGGTCCTTAGGCTTGGTCCTTCCAGCCAGCCCAGCCTGGGGAGCTGGGCAGGACATGCCACGCCGCACCAGCAGCCCTCCTGGGCGCCCTCGGCTCTGCTGTGGATGGCTGCCCCTCGGTGCCAGCCTGGTACAGAGCCATATACCTCGCCGCCCGCGCCCCCCCGCCTGTCTCCACTTCAGGAAAAGCCGCACTTTACGCCACTTGCCTCCCCTGCAGTAGCCAGCTGTGGGCTTGGGGCAGGGGCTATGCCCCGTGCTGCCCTTTCCTCGCACCAGCGTAGGGAGCTCCAGAGGGGTGGCCCACGGCCTCAGCACCGCCCACCACAGGTCTCTGTTGGAAGGCTCCAGCAGGGCGTCTCGGGGTCCTTGTCCTCTTCTCCCAGCCCTGTCCTGTTACGTTTCTGTTTACAAGTTGGAGTGGGGTCCTCCGGGGCAGGGCAGCCAGCCTAGCCCCGTCCCGTCTGCTCACGCCCTCCCCCAGGACCACACTGTGAAGTGATACTGCCTTGAGCCCCTGCAGTTTTATTTATTAAACTTGAGTTGAAGCCCGAGGGTGCCTTGTGCTGGTCAGGTGGGTCCCGAGGACAGTAGGGCGGGTATCTGGCCGGGGCAGGGGGCAGGGGGCAGGGACCATGGCACAGGTAGCAGATGACAGGCGGCCCTGTCAGTGGACAGCACAGTGACAGAATTGGGGCCAGACTGGGCAGAGCGTCACGGTGGCCCTGGAAGGGACAACTGAGCAGACTAAGGGCCTGCGAGCGCAGAGGCGGCTGGGCAGGTGGCCAGCAAGTGAGGGTGGTGAGGTGCCTCGCCCAGTCCAGGGAGGTGGCAGGTCAAGGACCACTTGGGTGCAGGACCCCAGGCTTCAGGGGTCTCATTGGGAAGCTGGGTCTCCAGGTGTGGGGACCAGTGGGGGTAGGTGGCGTCTGGGTGTGGGCTGCGGGCAGGAGCCCCTCCAGGGTGCCGTTGCTTGTGTGACCCAATGAGGGCTGCAGTGAGCCCGAGACCTGGGCCCTGCTGTGCTGCCCCTGGGCTGGGAGCCAGAACAGCGGGTGAGGCGGCATCCCGGGTTGGGCAAGCGCGCTGGGAGGTAAAGCCCTCTGGTTCCAGTGTGAGGGCCAAGCTGAGAGGGACACCAGGTCCCAGGGCAGCAGGTCCCCACGGGCCAGCAGGCGGGCGAGGCAGTGCTTGGGGCGGTGGCTGCGTGGCTGAGTCCTGACTCCAGGACTCAGGAAACACCGGGTGTGCACCCCAGATCTGGAGAGGACTGGAGAAAGGCCACCCTGAGGGAGTGGGTGCTTTCTCACCAGCAAAGCTACATCCAACTCGGCCGTTCCACCTGGACTCTTGGAAGAAGCACCTTGTGCCTTGGCCACGGTGTAACCTGTTTTCTGCTCAGTTAACTCCCGTGGGGCTTCCCGACGATCGTGGCCCTGGGCCACGTATCTGACCCACGGATCCTCGTCAGCTCCAAGTGGAGGCCCACCCTGTCCCTGCCATGCAGACAGAGGCCCAGCCGATGTCCATCCTTCCCTGACTACGTGCTGGAGCCCCTGCTTACCTCGGGTGGCCTCCCTCACGGCCTGGGGAGCGGGGTGGGACAAGTGCGCAGTCGCACGGAGGTGACAGGGCCAGCCCACTCCACAGCCCTGGAGGGTGTGGCTAGGCAGATTTCTGGGGGGCTGTGAGCAGTCCAGCATTCTGAGGTCACAGCAGTGTTCCTGGGCGCCAGGAGTGGTGGGGATGCTAGGGTGGCGGGGTCTCACACGGCCAGGTGCACGGCTGAGTCTCAGACCTAAAGGCTTGGAAACTGTTGGGCGTGTGTGCAGCCCTACAGCCTTGGGGGAGGAGAGACTGAGGGGGGACTGTGGGGGACTGTGGCGTGGCTATCCCAGTGGGGGTGAATCCTCACCCCCACCCTCTGCCAGGCATTGCATGTGAACTGCCAGCAAATCTTTTTAAAAGGAAACAGAGAAAGTGGGAAAGCAAGCCACCAGGTCCGGGACTTGAACTGTGGTCAGCCATG